GTCTTAGTATATAGCTAAGTTACACTTTCCCTTCAACAAGCGAAAAACTTTGACTCACACTTGAGTGACAACGTTCGCCCCGAAAAAAAGCAGCCTGGCACTGCCTTAATCCTAACCGGAACTGCACATATAAACTCGTGGCCGGATATGGTTAACGTCCGGATTGTTGTCACTTGTAACCAAATGAATTCATTTCTTTATTTGATATTTTATTCCCTTTCGGTTAAATCGTTGGCAGCTTTTGAAGAATTCTTTTTACAGACTTCGTGCAAATTACAAATTGAAATATATCAACCAAGTACAATAATTGAAATATCTGGTAAATGTTGTAACAGAGGTTCGGAAAACGCAACACCGAAAGGTGAAGGTGCATATGGATAGTGACAGGTGTCTGACCAAAAGTTAAGCAAAGTATTAAAAAGCAAGAAAATTTCGTGAGAAACAAAGAAAAGAATAATGAATTAGTGCGTAATATCGCTCCTCCTATATGTTAGTGAATGCTGGAAATTTTCATCAGGGATACACAAGAAAACTGAGGCGATAGAAATGTTTCTACAGAAGGATGCTGAGAATACTATGGATTGAACATTTCAGAAATGATGAGGTTTGTGAGAAAATGGAAGCAAAAACGACGTTTATACTTATCATCAGGAAGATATACTTGAAATTTCAGGGGTACATAAGTGGAATGGTGGGTTGAAAAAAAAACGACAACCCACCTAATGAACACGTGTAAATGGTTAGCAAATCAGAATTTAAGAGAGATAACAAAAAGATAAAATTTTCTACAAGGGTCAGGTGGAGTAATCGATAACGGCTCGGATTGAGGAATCGGAGAGCCGAGTTCGAATTCCAGCCGTGTATGAATCCTCTTCTTTCCACCTAGCAATGGGCAAAATAGCAGTACAGATATAGACTTGGGTGGTAAGGAGAAGGGCAACTCTGAATTCAAAAACGATCCTACCGGTAGGGGATTGTGCAATAGGTTAACAACTTACTTAAAAACTGGTTTGTTACAGAAACCACAACGATATTTCCCGGCCCTATGTTCCTCAAGGAATTTATATATATATATATATATATATATATATATATATATATATATATATATATATATATATATATATAGGTATAAAATTGTGAAAGGACACGGTACATAGAATAAGAAAATAAATTACCATTCCTTTCTATATGGGTTTCTTAATCATAGTTTCACAAGGTCAGGACTTTGTTGAAACCATGTATAAAACCATATATAAAATTCATAGACAAAGAAAAGCAACTGTCATAAGCTTTAGAATGAAAGCAGATAAGTAATGGATAATATCTGAGATTTGGAGGGACGAAAAATTCAGCAATTTTTCATGCAAATGTTCCCAAAATTAGTGAATTTCAAAACGAAATTGGTCGTTGATATTGGAATATAAAAATAAAGGCAGACAGATGAAGATAAGAGAGAAGTAAATACATTATTCATCTATTTGCCAAGATATGCACGATCATGTCTCGCCATGTTTTTCTATCTTTTGTTGCTCTATTTTATATTTGACAAAGGACTATTTTTATATTTTGTTGTTTTTTTTTATTCAGTTTAATCGCACAAAATCATTAAGTCAACTATTCACTATTTTCCTTTTTACATTGATTCTCTTGCCTTCCGTATATCCTGTGGGAATTACAAATATTAGTCTATGGATTGCTGGGTTATTGCCCTTTAAGGAAATTATTTTTTGAAAGACTGATTGCCTTTCTCTTCGACTCCGGGAGCGACAACACGTGTTGTTTTTTTCTTCATCAAACAAAAACCATATTAAACAATCGATAGCTACAATGAAGAAGTCAAATCCTCCATTAATTTAACTAAACATGTTTTTTTTTTAAATACATTTGTTGTTTTATGTTTAAATTCCATGGTTTATCACTATTTTTTACCCGGACTCACATGAGTCCTCATATTAGTGTTTGTTTGACAAATAGTACCAGGATTCGTAAAGCGATAATTATTTCCCTTCCGAAACAGGATCATTATTATAATTTTACTTTCTTTGTGAGGAAAGAAGCATAATGGATTAAATCTGTTTTTTGTCTCTTTTTGACAGATCGATAATCTGTTCAAAATTAATTTTTAATATCTTATTGTCTGGAAGCTTTCATTTAAGTCCGCTCTCCTCATATTGGAGAAACAGCTGCCCATTTCCCTTCAATCAATGATATTATTGCCGATCACAGTTCCACATGACTTTACTCTTTTTCCCTTCGTCCATTTTTCGATTTAATATCCAAATAATGAACAAAGCTACAAATGCAGACTGTGTCATCCAACCAAGAAGAGTATCAGCGGCATTTGAAATTGGATCCGAATTGTTGTTTTATCGTTTTATTTTGCAATGTTTTTTTTACTGAAAAAAATACCCGAAATATAATTAGATTATATCAATATCAGTGTCATTTTTTTTTTTATCTTGCCTTTGTCTTCATTTTTACCAACGCAGAACGAAAGTGAGGCTACAGTAGACAAGGATGATGTTACTGTATTATCAAAACGAGGCTGTAAAGGTGTCAATTCTAAATTACAATGAATAAAAATACGTATAGTTTCACGGGTTTTTAACAATAATCATAGGAAAAATTACAAACTCAATTTGTTCCTGAAAATGTTGTTCCGAGTAATTAGGTGATTGTGTATAATATGACGGTGGGACACTTTTCCTGTCGCCTAATATAGGGAAAAAGGAATTAATATTGCGATTGGGTCACTTTCAAATTCATTACACCGAGGAAGATATTTCCAGAAATTTTAACTTAACAAGATAAGAAATGAAATGTTATTTTGAACTTCCAAATTAAATAAATAAAACAGAATATATGTTGGTGAATTAGACAAAGAGAACGTTGAATTTTTCAAAGGTGTCAATGTAATGAGATAAAGTAGTAACTAGAAAAAAGAACATTTTCAAACGAAAGTAAATGTGTCCGTCCAAAAACACATAAGCTGACCAGGTTCAATCAATTTCCACCTTTACATAGATGATCTTCCTAAGACTATATTCCGGAAATTTGTAAATATCTATACTGATGATAGAACGTTATATGTGTGCACTACCAAAACACTAGATGACCAGAACTTAATAGCTGATCTCAGTTGCGGTAAAACTGTCTGGTTACATTAAAAAAACAAACTATTGATCTTCCGCCATCACCGATCGGACCCAGATATTTAACCAACCATGACGAATGGCCTCGTGGCTTCAGTGTCTAACATAACGTAAATTCAACCCAGACTTCAAGTGGACCTCGTGCATACGATTCCTTGTAGCCGGTGAATCAATCCTACAGCCTCTTTCTCACTGACGAGACGTCCCTAGACACTCTATTCTATCGCTATTTCCGTGGCCAGAAGAAGTACCCTCCTGAGTTTGACCAGTACTAACCTTCACAGCTAACACCCACCATGCTACGCACATTGTGGCAAATCAACACCATTCCCTTCATATTCCCTTGTTGATATGTATATTCCACTAAGCAGCTTTTCCGATGAACCACTTGACTTGTGGAACCGAGTTCCAAGAGATTGCTTCCCCGATCATTAAAATCTTAAACTTTTCAAGTCTAGTGTTAACCGTTATTTTTCATACATATCCGTATAGGTTGTGCCACTTGCTCAGTAACCCACTACAGAGGGTGGCCCTCGAAACTTGCACAGAGTGAACACTACTATAAAACAAATTGCTAGATGAATTTAGATTAGACACAGTTAATAGATTTTGTCTTATTTTACTCATTTCTTTGGGGTTTACCCGTGGTGTGCTTTTCAGGTATTTCCAAACGTTACTGCCATAGTAGCAGCGATAACATTTTAGCCACTCGTCCGCGCAGATACATGCGTCTATGCATAACTACTTTGTTATATAAATATATAAGCGGTCTTATCCAAACGGTATGGGAAATTTGACACTCACAGGACATATTGAAGGCAAGCGGGACAGAGGAAAACAACGTACATCCTAACTAATAAGCACGTGTAAATGGTTGGAAGAATACAGAGACAGCCACTGGACCAAAATTAGTAACTACAAACACAGCAAGTTCTGGAGAACCAACGATTTGAAGAGACATGGCACATAGAAGAAAAAGAATTACTTTTATTTTTCACCACTTTACGTGTTTACAAATTCCATTTAGTTAAAGTCGTTGTCTTCCTTCAGGATCGCGCGCTCCTTAAACAGTAGTCAGAACAAAAATATATGTTGCATTTGATTTATTTGATTAATAAAATCTGACACACTAAAAACAAGTTACCAATATCTTTAACGATTAAAGATACATTCTTAAACTATATTTCTTTCTTATATATTGATATCTTGAAGATTTTACAACAATTCGTAGCTTTATTCCGTTCTTTTTCATGAATGTATTAAGTTGAATAATAAAATTTGACTTAGTCTCTCCTGGTGTGATTATAAATTTCTTTGAAGTGAATATAATAGAAATGCACTTAATAGCATGATCGATAAATCGATTCACAAATTGATACGGCGCAAGAGAATGTTAGCATTTACAAGTGCCTGAAGATCTTACCTGCTAATGAGTTTGGATATTGCAGTTACACAATATGATTTGCAAAATATAATTCGAGATATAGTCTTTAACTTGTGTATTAAATATGGATTTAGGATGTCCAGACCAATTATTAGGACGAGGAAATATTTTTCTCAAAAATAGTTTTGTATATACTGTATTTTTTACTGTGATTGTAGCTAGCGAGCCAGATAGATAGATAGAAATATACTAACTGAAATGGATATAAACAGACTGGTTATATATATATATATATATATATATATATATATAGATAGATAGATAGATAGATAGATAGATAGAGAGAGATAGATAGAAATAAACAAACTGAAATAGATATAAACAGACTGATATATATATATATATATATATATATATATATATATGTATGTATATATAGTGAGAGATAGATAGATATAGACTGAACTGAGATAGATATAAACAAGCTGAGATAAATAGATAGATAGATAGATAGATATAAACAGAATGAGATATTGATAGATAGACCGATAGATACTGACACGTTTCTGAGGTAGATGCCTATTTTCTAACAGCCTCAGTGATTCTACGTTCAAGCTTATTCACAAGCCAATATTTCGTATTTATAAATCCACCATTTGTCCTTGTTTAGAATATTGCTGCCACATTTTCTCTGGTACTTCTGCTACATCTTTAGTGATTCTTGATACAATCCAAAAAAAAGAATCTGAAATGATATTGGTCCTGATCTGGCATATCGGCTTCAGAACCTTCCCCACTGCCGTAACGTAGTTTCCTTCTTCCTTTTCTACAAATACTTTCATGGTAACTGTTTTGATTATATTTCCGCTATGGTAACTAAACTTTATGAATTTTGAGCTCAGTACTAGATTGGCTCCAACGTCTCATCATTTTACAACTGAAATGGCTAGAATTAACCGTAAGTTCTATGCTAACAGTTTCTTCTCTTGCACGTTACGCTTGCGGAACTCTCTCTTTTGGCTTCCATTTGATCTTCAAAAATCTAAACGCAATGTCAATCGTTATCATCTGTACATTTAATTCTTCTTCTCGCTTCTTACTAATATTTTTACTCATATTCTCTAAAACACAGTAATCCACCTGTGTCCTAGTGGCTCCATTGCCTTGTATGGGGTGAAATGATTTTAAAAATCTTGAAGGTTTTCAAGTTCCCACTTAAAAGTATGTTGCTATAGAACCAAGTTTAAATTTAATTCCATTACAGCTCGCTTTTATGGCACATAATGAGGAAAAGAGGACTTGGAATATTTGACTTTTAAGTATCAAATTTTCAGAGGAAAAATAATAGCAGAGGAAAATAATGCATAATCTACCTAGCGATTTTTAGCAAATAGCATTGTGTATCAGAGATAACAAAAAGAGAAAATTTATTAAGAGCTACAAATAACAGTAAATTGTGAAGAACAATAACTGCTAACGTCCTGAAAATATATGGCACATGGAAAAAAAAGAAGGCTCGTTTTTTTTGTTTTTTTTTAACCAGTTTGGTAATGATTATATTATCTTAGTGTGAGACTAAGTCTCGTTAATTGCAACACACACAGAAAACATACATGGAAATGTCAATATATAATCTTGCATTTATATATATACTTATAAATCTTGGGTTGATAAGTAGTCATGTTCAGATTTGTATCCATCAGTTCCACAGCGAGGTTAATTTGCACTAAATGAGCAATGCTGAATGAAATTAATCTGACACCTATGTCTTGTGTCTGAGTTGATAGACATTACTTACATCAGATTACTTTCGTTTAAATGTCTAGAAATACACTCTCAGGAAGAAATGTAAAGATACATTATGTCAGTTATAAAAGCACAGATGTCTAAAAAAATACTCACAATCACTCATATCTAATTCTTTAGGCCTCAGATTAATGTCCTCATAATTGAGGATAAAATCGAGAAAACACTGTACACACCGGTCTATACGTCGATTTCGCAATATATAAGATTGTCAGGTTCAGAACATTTGAGGTGTTGTAATTCTGATATGACAAAATGTATACAAGATAAGATATGAGGCAATTTTTCTGATTTCTCTTCTTGTGACGAAGAATTTTAGAATATAAAGTAGTATCCTAGCCGATTGCGTCAGATTTGAAGTAAAGAAGAGGTCAGAATTTAAAACTAAAAAAAAACAAAAACGGGTGAATTGTTTTTTTTGTTTTGTTTTGTTTGTTTTTTGGGGTTTTTTTTTTTTAACTATGTGAACTATGAATTTAAGATGTCAAAATAAGAGTACAAAATTTTAACCATTTGGGAAGTACACTATTTACATTATTCGGACTATTGTCCTCATCTTTGAACTCACAATCTTTGGGTCCTGTCACTGGAACGTTTCGGCCGTTGTACGCCCGGCCTTCTTCAGGTGGTTGGAATGTCGAACTGAACCCTTTATTTCGCTCACTGGGACAGACTGTTCGAGTTACATGTACCAAGTCTAATGTATATCAGTTATCTACTGATAATTCCCTTTGAAATTTTTCCACTGCCTTAACCAGGTATTGAACTCACATTCTTTTGGTCCTGTCATTGGAACTAATTAACGCCATTTGTGCCATGTGTCCTTCAGCAACCTTTTTTTACCTGTGCTCATATTGCAATTTTTGCTGTTATCATTACATGTTTTTTTTTTTTTTACCAGAGCTCATATTGCAATTTTTGTTATTATTATCGCTTTTCTCTGGCACTCCTTATAAGTAGTTCCCATATTGTATTCATTTCTATGTTTGGTCGGCTCAGGAGGTTTTGTGGCCTAGCATATGTGCTGATTCCTTAAAAATCCGTAAACTTAAGGAATCGGGATATATGATAGCCACAAAAAAATCTCGTTGTAATAAATATGGCGACAAAGACGTGGACAATAGTCCGAATAATGTAAATAGTGTACATAATACCTCATCTAAGTATTCTAACAGAGAAGAGAATATATTTCAGCGAAATTCGAATGCGCATTTAAATAGCAAAATATACTTTACAAAAACTAAGCAAAGTTCTAACAAACAGGAAAATTTCGTTAAAAAATAAGGAAGTCCCTGCTGAAATGTTATCTAGCATCAATCCTTCTATATAGACAATTTCATCGCAGATGAGGAGAACATTTTAGTCATGAATTGCAGATCTACAGAAGGATGATAAGAATATTATGAATAAAGCGTGTAAGCAACGATGGCGTTTTAAAAAAGGAGGACATTGAGAACTTATCAAAGGCAGCGAACTGACAAGCTAATGTGGAATGAAGGCAGAGCGGGAAAAGAAAGGGCAGGTAAATGCCAAACGAGATACACAGAATGGGACGTTGTGGAAAGCCATGATTTCTCATATGCTCAATGAACACGGCTAATAGAGGACTGATGAAATTTAATCATGAGATGATAGGGTCACATATAAAACACTCTTAATTGGATCTCTTTAGAATCTTTATAGATAGTATGATAATTAGCAAAATACATAGTGGTAGGCAAACAATACGATGGCTATTCAATATACGTTGAAGTACCGGTGTTGATATAATAACGTTAAATACGACCACTCAAAGCCGAAATCTTTCGAGAGAAACGTCTCTTGTTAGTGCACAATCTGCCGCAGGCGGACATAGCGAAAGATAATGATGTTACATGCAAATTCGTTTCAGTTTTACAACAGATTACTAAATTCTCCCACTTTCCATCAGCAGGAAAATTCAAGATTCGACAAATAGTTAACACTCTCCGTAGTATTTACGATAAAGTTTTCAGGTCTTTCATCAAAATTATATATATATATATATATATATATATATATATACTAATAGTAATACTCGTTTGGTAAAAATCCTCAGATAACTCAAATTGTAGATTTTCAAAATAAATCGGTAGCCGAGGAAAGAACTGGAAATAAAAAAGAAAGAAAAATATCAAAACAGGCCGAAAAAATCGACCAGTGCCTTAAGAAAATATATATATATATATATATATATATATATATATATATATATATATATATATAATGAGAGAGAGATTAGCACAATCCGAATGTACTCGAACATAGGAAATTATATATTCAAATATGAGCTGAAATCAATCAAAGAATCGATATACGCACACCCATATATATATATATATATATATATATATATATATATATATATATATATATATATATATATATAAAAGGTAAACATTCCTTTGTTATATGATCCAAGTAGATCCTAGCAATATAAAATGTTTACCTTTACTATATATATATATATAGGATCCTAGCAATATAAAATGTTTACCTTTACTATATATATATATATATATATATATATATATATAGGATTTAAAAAGTGGATCCTAGCAATATAAAATGTTTACCTTTACTATATATATATATATATATATATATATATATATAGGACTGTTTACCTTTACTATATATATATATATATATATATATAGTAAAGGTAAACATTCCTTTGTTATATGATCCAAGTGGATCCTAGCAATATAAAATGTTAAAACTGATCCACAAATAGCGTTCGGTGTATTTGTAAATCCAGGGCAATATAATTAATAAAGAAATAGATCCAAAATTATCTCATATAGGGAATAGCCTATTTCGACAGACGATGATATCGGTCGTCTGTCTTATCAACTGCGGTGTGGAATGAGTTCACGTTTCTAAAGTTAGATGAGGCAGGAAATCGAATTTAATTGTGAAACTAACAAATCAATCCAAATCTAACTTGCCGAATATATCTAATACAGAGTTTGCACATTTCAATGTTTCATTCAGACGAAAGGTATAAGATGGGGGTCAGGGGAGGGTGGAAGGTATCTGTCTTAAAAGGAAGAAGGTTTATTTAAAAAAAAGAAAACGATAAAGCTTATGAGATCAATTTGTGAGTTATAGGAAAAATGATTTTTTTAATTTAAAATTAAAGGAGAAATAAAAAAAAAAGGAACACAAAATTAAATTTATAATATATAGATAAAAGACGTAAGTGTTTAACGGAAAGAGAGTTAAAGAGATATTCAAGTAGGGGAAACTTTAAAAATTATAATTACTATAGTATAAAAAGGTTTTAGAGGGGGGATTTAATTATGGAAATTAGAATTAGTTTTTGGTTTGTCTGTCGACATTGGAATATTTAGAAGGGAGTGATTTTGTGTAGCTAATTAAAGTAAAACTGTATTATGGGAATTTGAATTTGTTGTTATGTTGACATTTTAACACTAATTCATTCCTTTGATTCAATAGTTGGCTTTGACTATTTTATTTTATTGTCTTCATTTATTCTTTTAAATACGAAGACCATTAGGAGTTCTAACACCTATCTCTAAGACTATTAAGTGTTCGTGCAGAACCTATATATATATATATATATATATATATATATATATATATATATATTAGGCAAATGAATGATAATGTGGAAAAAATCCGTATTTCATCAGAATTTTTATAATTTTCAATTCATTTAGCTTACATTGTTTTGATGTATATATATATATATATATATATATATA